GCCTCTGCCACCGGCCCGGCGGGCTGGTGCCGGGGGTCGTCGGGCTGCGGACCCTGGAGAGGTGGGGCATTCGAGACTGCGCAGGTTGTGGCACTTCTGCCAAGAACCTTTTGTCACAGCCAGTGTGCCACCTTCCTCTGTGAAGGGAAGGGGGCCGTTTTTGGATTCACTTCTGGCAAATCCGACGCCTGGCTGTAGCCCCCCGACGCCACAGCCCTCCCAGGGCGGCGAGATCCCCCGCCCGTGCCTCTGAAGCCCCTGCCTGCAGAGCGCGACGGCCGGGCTCCTGGTGATGCAACCCCAGCCCCTCTTCCATCGCGCCCCCTGGACCCTGGCCTCCAAAAGGGAAGGCCAAGAGGGGGCACAGGCTCCTGCCTCATGTCGCCCCTTCCTCTGTACCAGCCCTGGCGGTGGTTGCTTTAGCTGGTCCCGACGGACTGCCGTCAGCTAACACTCACGGGGTCGCCCGTGCGCCTGCCCTGCCCAGCTGCCCAAACTGCACTCGGCTCCAGATCTAGCACGCGCTTGGGATGTGTTTGAAGCGTACGGCCACGCATTCTTTGCAGAGGTATTTGGTGTTTATCAAAGTGCCTGGGACGTGATAGACATTGAGAACACACTGAAGTCATGAAGATGCTGTAGGAGATACAAAAATGAACCATTTACTTACTCAGCCACTCTTCTGGATGACCGCTGTACACTCCCCTCTCCTGCCTCAAACCTCTGCCATCCTCCCCCTCCCCCCACTTTCTCTCAGCTGATGGCCTTGCTTCCTATTTCACTCAAAAAAGAAAAGCCAACAGGAGAACTTCCTTGAGCTCTCACCACTGTATCCCTCAATATTTTATCTGTGCACACAAGCTCTGCCTTCTTCCCTGTACTGTGGACAAACTGTACTGTGGACAGACTGTGCTCCTGGAGGTCAGCCTCTCCTGTTTGCTCTCAACTCCAGAAAGTCACTCCCGTCTCCCCTCCGGCATCAACAACTTCCCCCTCTCTACTAGACTGGTTCCACTAGCATGATGCAATTTCTCCCATCTTAAAACCCCTCTCTTGACTACATCATTCCCCAGATACTCCATTTTCCAGTGCCCCTTTTTGGCATGACTCCTAGAAAGTGTTGTTTGTATTTGCTGTCTCCAATTTCTTCCCTCTCTCTAGCTCATCAGGCTATTGCTTCTGTAAATTTTACTGAAACTCTTCTTTCTTTAATTAACTTATTTTTTTGTTTATTTTTGTTTCAGATATGACAGATGTCCCTTTTTTTCTCCCCAATGATCCATTCCATCCCGTCCCATCCCCCTCCCCAGTCCCTCTCCACACCATTGTCTGAGTCCTTGGGTTGTGCATATATGCATATAAATTCCTGAAACTCTCCTTGTCAAAAATTAAACTCTGTGTTCCCAGATCTCTTCTCTGTATAACAACCTAGAGAGACAAGTCCCAAATAAAGATACCAGTGTGGTTGAGTGAATGTGCATGGTGTGAGTGCCTGTGTGTATTTGCACATTTGGGTTCCCCCATCTTGAGCTCACAGATTCCCTGTGGGCTTCTGGGTGCAGCCATCTGCCTCCAGATCCTGCCCCTAAACTATTTCCCTCTTAGCATTTGTAACAGCTAGTCATTCCCTCCTTAAAACACATTTTTTACTTGGCTTCTAAGAAACCACTTTCTCTCAGTTTTTCTCTTATTTCACAGGACTCTCCTTCTGGGTCTGCTTTCCTACATTCTTTCCTCTTTCTGACCTATAAACGTTGACATGCCCAGACCATCTAGAATCGTTCTCTAGATAATCTCATTCAGATAAACACCCAGAAGTAGAGTTGCTGGGTCATAAGGCAGTTCTATTTTTAACTTTTTGAGGCACTTACATAGTGGCTGCACCAATTTGCAGTCCCATCAACAATGCACAGTGGTTCCCTTGTCTCCATATCTTCGCCAACACTTGTTGTTTGTTGATTTATCGATCTTAGCCATTCTGACAGGTGGGAGATGATATCTCATTGTGGTTTTCATTTGCATTTCTCTGATGATTAGTGACATTGAGCAAGTTTTCCTGTCTCTTGGCCATCTGTATGTCCTCTTTGGAGAAGTGTCTATTCAGGTCCTCAGCCCATTTTAAAATGGATTATTTGGTATATTTTTGGTGGTGTTATGTGAGTTCTTTATAAATTTTGGATATTAACCCCTTATCAGATGTATCATTGGTGGATATCTTCTACCAATTAGTAGACTGTCTTTTCATTTTGTTGATGGTTTCCTTTGCTGTGCAAGAACTTTTTAGTTTAATATAGTCCCATTTGTTTACTTTTTCTTTTGTATCCCTTGCCTGAGAAGATGTATCAACAAAAATATTGCTAAGAGTGATGTCAGAGAGCTTATTGCCTATGTGTTCTTCTAGGAGTTTTAGGGTCTTACAGTTATGTCTTTGATCTACTTTGAGTTTTCATTCAGATTTTAAATACCATCCAGATACAGGAAACCATCTGAAAGGTAACAGCGCAGGGAGGGAGCAGGGGCAGCATAGGCGAAGGTGAGCAAGTGGTTCAAACCTCCAGTTATAAAATAAACAAGTCACGGGGATGTCAGCATAGTACAGGGAATACAGTCAGTAACACTGTAATAGATTTGTATGGCGACAGATGCTACTAGACTTATTGTGGTGATCATTTTGTAATGTATATAAATAGCGAATTGCTATGGCATACACCTGAAACTGATAGGGTGTTGTTTGCCAATTATGCTTCAATTAAAAAATATATCTCTGAAGGATACAAGAAGCTGGTGAAAATCGGTATCTCTGGAGAGTAGTGAGGTGTCTGAATAATAGAATGGGTGGAGAATTCCTTATATCATAAAGTCTTTTGTCCCCTTTGAACATTTTAATCACGTGTACATGTTACATATTCCCCAAAAATGAATAAAATTGGACAAGTAAAAATATTCACATAAATAAATATATACATAAATGTAGAGACAGATAGAGAGCATTTATGTTCTGACAACTCCCATATTTATATTTCAAGCCTGGACTTCTCTCTTGGGCTCCAGGTTTGGGGCCCTTCTAAGCACAGGGCCCTGAAGTCAACCCCATACGAAGGTACAAAAGACCAGGTACCTTGTCTTCAGGTGGGACAATTCTGCAATACTACTCAGGATCTTGAGCTCCCCCGGGATAGAAAGAAGCTCAGACTCGGCAAAACCAGGGGTTGGCAAACTTTCTGTAAAGGGCCAGATAGTTAAACCTTTAAGCATTTGGGGCCATACAGTCCCAGTCGCAAGTACTGAACTCTGTGTTCATAGCACAGAAGTGGCCATAGATAATATGCAAACAAAATAAGTGTGGCTGTGTTCCAAAACAGATTTGATCCAAAGGCAAAGTCTGCCAGCCCCTGAGCTAAATACGCCTCTCATCTAGCTTCTCCCCTGCCCTCTCCTGCTTCCCTCCTTCCCTTACAGGTCTCACTGGAGACCATTCCTCTATCACTCACGTACACAAAACCCCATCTCGAACTTTGTTCCTAGGGAACCCAACCTAAGACAGCACCCCTTCTACATGACCCTCCTGTGGTGCCTGGATGCTCACCCCAAGACATTTATCACAGGGTGCTGAAACTGCCTGTTTTCCCTGCCCCTCCACATCAGATTG